CGAAGGAGTAGACCCCTGGCGGTGGGGTGGGAGAGGGAGTTCATGCTGGGCCCCTGATACCCCAGGGGCCCTCCTCCTGTGAGCCCCTATGGCTCATCTGGGCGCCTTGTTCCTGTGACCATCATTAAAGCACAGCTGGGAATCCCCCTAAAGCCATATCCCATTATCGCTGGGCCAAGGTTCTCTCCCCTTGGGACCACTATGAGGATACTCTGAGCCTCTTGCTTCTGTCCCCCTTGGATTACTACCATGTCAGGAGCGGGTCCTCCCCTGGAACCCCAAAATAGTTGGGCTAGGACACCTCAACAGCATGACATCAGGACTGGGCCCATGCCTGATGGCATTTCTGGGCCACTTTACACCTGCCCTGGACTCACTGTTACTGAGCTGATCACTTTTTTCCTGGCTCAACAGTCAGCCAGAGCTAGATCTCTCCAGCCCTCTGTCATAGGGACCACCATTTTGGATGAGCTCTGCCCTTCTATACCATGGCCACCGACTGTGGCTGGAACCACACAGTGGGGTCTCATCTTCCTGCTTGGGGTGGGTGGGGTGGACTGGTGTTTGGCCTGGGCCTGTGTCCCCCTCTTCTGCATTGAGACTCTCCTCGTAGCAATCTGGGGCCCTGACCATTGCCACCATGGTTGGATTAGGCCCCACCATTGTGCCTAGAACCTCTGTTGTGCCTGGCCTTAGCCACATCCCTCTTCACCTCATGAGGCACCATCATGGCAGTTCTAGGCTCTCTTCCCCATAAAATGATTATGGCTGAATCTGGCCCAGATCTCCTTTGCATAGCTGACCCCCTGGCCACGTCACTCACCCAGGAAGCGGACCAGCCTCCGCAGTGGGGGGCTGAAGCGGCAGCAGGCCCCAGACACGATGGTGCTCTCCCCGATGATGGGGATGGCTGAGGGTGGCGCAGGGAAAAAGGCACGCGCCAGCTCCCCCAGCAGGATCTGTGGGCAAGATCAAGGCAGGGTCTTCCTGGCCTTCAAATCCAACCCTCCACCCACCTCCACCTGGCCCTCCTGCCGCCTGGGTCTGACCAAGGCTACCCCCAGTCTCACCGTGAGGGTGGGCCCAGCAGTGACCAGGGCATAGATCAGTGCAGGAGGCACTCGGCTGGCAGCCTCAGGCCCTGGGTAAGGCTTGGCATAGTTACTGTCATAGCAGAAGAACCCCTGGGTGTGTACGGGGAAGGTGTCCGTGAACTCCAGGCGGTAAGCAAGCAGGACCACGATGCCCAGAAGCACTGACTGCCACCCAGTCATGGCAGGGAGACAGAGAGAGAAGAGACAGGGTCAGGTCCAAGCTGGGGCCATGCCGAGAGACACAGAGACGGAGAGAGACCGAGATGGGGAGGAGAGACAGACAGATCAAGCCTGAGGGAGATACAAAGGGTAGGAGACACAGAGAGAAGCTGGGAATGGTCGGGGCCTGGGAGACACAAAGGGACAGAAACAGAAAGAGAAGACAGGAGGGGAGGGGAGGGCAGAGGAGGAGAAGAGAAAGAGAAGGGACTAGTAGAATGGAAAGGAGAGAGGAGACAGGATGGGGGGAGAGCGAGTGAGGACTGGGCCAGGGCTCAGACCAGAGAGAGGGGTCAGTGGGGGCCGGGGACATAGACCAAGAGGGGAAAAGATAGAACTGCTAGCAGAAGTTCTAGCAGCTTCCAGAAGTACAACTGTTACTGGGGGCAGGACATCATACTGAACCTCTTCCGTGAATTAATACATCTTACCTTCATAACTGCCCTAGGAGAAAGGGACTCTACGCCTATTTGACAGCCAAGGAAACTGAAGCTCAAGAGGGTATGTGAGGTACCCAGAGTTCTGTGGTAAGGGTGGGCTTGGAACTCTGGGAGTGTCACTTTTGAACACCCCTCCTCCCCGCTGAGGGTCTGGGAGCGAGTCTGGGGGGGTGAACTGGGGGGGTGAGAGTTACCGGGTTCCTCACCTCCACGAAGACAAAGCAGGGAATGATGGAGAAACTCCTCTTCGACTGGGGTCTCCCTCCTGCCATGGTGAAGACCGGCCCTGTGGAGGTGGGGAGGGAATGGGACGGCCAGGGCGGGGCCTAGGGGGAGGCTCTGGTCACCCGCCTGAGTAGAGTCTCTGGCCACACCATGACCCCCCCCCCCCCCCCGGCCCCAGACCCCAGAACTACTACAAAGGAGCCCTGGCTCCACCCACTGAGCCTTCTGGCCATGACTCTGAATATCCAGGATTCTGCCCATTGGAGGCCTCCCCTGACACAACCAGCCCAGCTCATCCTCTGCCAGGGATCCCAGAGATTCTATAGTGGTCTTCTCCCCCAACAGCCCACATAGGAGATTCGGACCCCAAGCTTTTTAGGAGGGTCTCTCCTCCTTACCATACAGGTCACCTCCCCATAGCCCTTGGAAGAGACTTCTCCAGCTTAACGGGACCCCTCCTCCACAGAGAAGGGTCCTCACCCCCACTGGTTTTTAGGAGACCCCATTCTCTTTCCCCATGTGCTTTATAATGGACCCCATGCTCTGTGTCCCCCACCCCCACCAGGTTCCTCCTCTGAGTCCCTTCCCCCATGGCCCACAGGGGCCTCTCTCTCCTGTCCCCATGGGCTGCGCCTGACTGATTCTCGGGCTGATGGCCAGGCCCTCCTTCTATCCCAGCTGCCTCCCCCTTTCCCCTCCTCCCAGCCTGTCTGCCTGTCTGTGTCGTGAGGGGGTTATCTTCTCCCAACAAGCCCCCTCTCCCCCCAATCTAACCTCGGTCCCCAGCACTGAGGGGCCAACAGAGCCACATCTGCTCGACCCATTCTCCCAGGCTGACCTCACCTGTGAAAGGGCCCTATGGCTTCCCACAGGCCTCCGCCACACCCACAGACTCACAGCCGCTCCTGGCGGCCAGCAGGGCAGGGATGGTCAACCCCATTGCACAGATGTGGAAACTGAGGCCCAGGAAGGTGAGGGTAGGCACTCTGGGTCCAGTGCCCCATCCACGCAGCTTGCTCTGCAGTGTGACATGTGGGGTGAGGGTCACCAGAGATCTCAGATGCCCATGTGGCCAGGGCCCCTCACCCTTCCAGAGACACAATCACACATGCTGGCATCCCTAGAGTACACAACTCAGCCACAGCCTCCAGCCCAAACACCACACACACACACACACACGGTGTAGCACCTGTCCATTCCACCAACAAGGATCCAGTGCCTGCTGGGTTCTAGGCACTTTGCCTGTGGTGAACAAGACGGGCCTGCTCATTCAGACAGGTGCCCAGCACCCACTACACACAACTGCACACTCACACACATGGCCCAGTGTGCACACGGCCTGTCACAGACACCCACACAGATCAAACAACTCCCCCCCCACACGCACACACAGTCATAGGGACACAAGAGGGGGTCCTTCATCCACTTCACAGCCCCGCACACAGCCCCACACAAGCACTCGCCCCACCCGCATCAGGGACATAGCCTCAGGGCTGCCACCACACTGAGAGTTACATCAAAAAGAGTCACCACACACACTGGGGGTCATAAACCGGTCACGGCGTCACACCCCCAATTACCAGGCACTCAGTGACAGCCACACACATTAACAGTCTCTGTCTCATCCACACCGACACTCACAGGAAAGACGATGTCATCCACAAGCTCAGCCACATGGCCACGCAAGGGCACATACATGGACCATGACACGGACTTGCACACTGAGCCACACAAGAAAGGCGCATGATCACGGCCCCACACTGAGACATAAAAATGGGCCCCCACACCCTCAGAAGGAACACACAATGGCAGTCATAGGCACACAGCCGTACAGCCACCGAGCCGGGCCCGCACAGTGGGTGATAGCAGTCACAACAGCACAGCCACACACACCCTCAGAGTGACACCCGTGATGCCAGCCACACAATGACAGCCACAGGAGAGTCACACATACACCACACAGACCACACAGGCATCCCCAAAGCCACACAATTACAGTTACACAACCACACACTGACACAAAAAGACAACCGCACAATCACAGTCACCCTCACCACCTGCCGCTTGGCTTCTCCGGCCCGGGGTCCCCTCTCCACGCTCCCCTCCCGGAGCCCGGTTCTCAAGCCCCAGCTCACTGCCTCCCCTCCCCCTCCCTGCGCCGGACCCACAGGGGACCCGACCCCTCGGGAGCTGAACCCTGGCCGGACAGACAGACCGAGGGTCGGTAGCCCGCGAGAGGGGGTGCCGGGAGCGCCCCAAGCCCCTCTCCCTCACCGGGTCGAGGCTGTCACGGTCTGAGCCCCCGCTCCGCTTAGACGTCACCAGGGCGGCAGGACGAACGAACGGGACGGCAGGCCCCGCGGGCGGACACGGAGATGGGAGACGCCGTCGGCCTGGCAGCGCCGCGCAGACTCAGCGAAGGGGCGAGGGGCGGGGCCTCCGGGTGCTTTATTTGCATAACCCCGTGGGGCGGGGACTCGCGGCGTCTCATTAGCATGGTCCGGGGCGGGGCCTCTGTTGCTCTTGGGGGCCCGAGAGGGTTAAGACAAATGTGGGAGGGAATGAAGGATGCAGGTTGAGGGAGAACTAGGCGGTGCGGGCGCTGAGGGGAAGAGGAGGGCGAGGTGAGAGCGTGACCCTGGACCTCGACCCTCCCTCCCTGTGCCTCAGTTTCTCCTTTGGGGCAGTAGACTAGAGCGCCAGGGCCCCCCAGAAAGGAGCTCTGGTGGCTAGTGTGAAAGAGCCTGTCTGGATACTCATATCTGGACAGACTGACCTTGTTATATATTACATTTGGCCTCACAATGTCCCCTGATCCTAAGCCTACACATCCTGAACAGCCTCTGCCCCACACCCTCCCCAACACTGGAAAGTAAACTGGGTGTGGGTGCGGTCATTCTCAGGCACAGGAAGCAACAGGAGCAACACAGTCCACAGGTGGAAGAGGGTCTTGGCTAGTTTATTTTCTCTCTGGAGGGGTCTTCAGGGAGAGCAGTCCCGGCTGCTCAGGCTGTGGAGAGAGAGTGGGTCAGGGCGGTCAGGGCCCAGCTTAGTCCAGAGGACCTCAGGGCTGGAAATCAGGGAGCAGATGCCCAGGTTGTGAGCTGCGAGGGTCCATACTGTGGCACTGGAGGGCAGGCCAGGAGAGGAAGGGTCGGGTAGAGCAGGGGAGCTTCCGTACCAGATGGGAAGGAGCGGCTCTTGCTGAATGGTGGCTGGGAAGGATCCTGGTCTGAGTCTGAGTCCCAGGAGAGGAACAGAGGGCTCAGGCCTCGGTGCCCTTTGTAGCCTGCGGGAGCGACCGGTGCAATTCTGGCCTTTCACCCACAAACCCTGAATGTGACCCTTGAGTGACATTGTGATCAAGGGCCAGTGTTCCTTTTGTCACTTAAATGTGACCCAACGTGATACCAAAGTATGACCTCAGTGATCCTTGAATACCCCACGGATCCTTTAAAAAAATCCCAGTGACCTTGAGTGACCCCAGGATGGAAATCCTTAATGGGACCCTAGAAGAAGCCCCAAAGGAGGTGATCCCCAAATATGGCCTCTGAACATGACCTCCATGTGTGAAACTGGAGAATGACCCCCCACACACACACCCCAGAGTGCACCTCATCCCCCCTTACCCCTGAGGTTCAAGGCCCTGGGGAGGCCTGAGGACATGGTGAAGCCATCAAAGGAGTTCTGCAGCAAGTGCACAGCAGACCTGCGGGGAGATGGGGGGCTGGGGGCGCTGGGAGGCTCCCGATTGGTCAGGGCTGGGGCAGGGGGGCCACGGTGGGGACCAGGGGCCAGGGGTAGAGGTGCGTCCTGGGAGGAGAGGGAGGCCTGGACTCAGGTGGGTTCCAGGTTCTGGTAGTCGCTGCTTGAACTGATTGGTGGGAGGGCAAGGCAGATGAAAGTCAGGAGTCAGAGGTTAGGGTGGGAGCAGGGCATCACCATATGTCACTCAGCTCCTTTTGGAGGTCATCCCTCCAGGAGCCTCTGCCTCCTGGTGGCATCTCCTCAGTGTCCGGCCAGTTGGATGTCTCATACCCCTGCTGCTTCATCTTGGTCAGGACCTGAGGCCAGGGGGTGGCAAGTGTGTATGAGACAACAATGGTAATAACAGTAATGGTGAAAAGTGACCCTTCACTGATGATATGTCAGGCTGCCCTCAAAGTGTTTAGTATGCAGTTCATGCAGCTGCTCCTTCAGGTAGGGATACCGTGTCATACCCATTATACGGATGAGGACACTGAGGCCCAGAGAAGTCAACTGACTAGACCACAGTCACACAGCAGTTAAGTGGCAGAGCTGAGATTTGAACCCAGTCCTTCTGGCTCCTTCTGTGGGGACCCCAGTGTGACGGCGGAGGCCGGCAGAGATTCCCACGTCCCCAGATCTCACACAGGGTCCCACCCTCTTTGCTCACCTTGCGGCACTTCACCTGTGTCTTCTGCATCTTCTGGATGTTCACCAGGTTCTCTGTGATCTCGTCCTCCTGAGCCTCTGTGGGGGGAGGGGACTCAGGGGGGCCAGAGCAGCAGAAGGACCCCCCTTTCTGGCCGTGGGCTCCAGGCACTCACGGAGCTTCTGATAGATGAAGGTCACCTCCTCCCGCACCAGCTCCAGCTCCTCCCACAGGAACTTCTTGCTGAGGGGACAGTGCAGCCTAGACCCACATTCCCTGCTCAGCCTTTGACCTCCTATTTCCTGGCCTTCTGACCTCCCATTTGCCCACCTGCCTCCTCAAGCCTCCTCCAACTCTCATGTTCCCATCCCCCCCAGGATCTGTCCCCTCCCCCAACCTCCCTGCCCACCTTGCCCTTCCTACCTCTACTCCCCCACCTCCAATCCCCCAGCCCCTTGTGCCCTCCTCCTGACCTCCAGCCTCCCATTCTCTCAGCCTCTCATTGCCTGGCCTCCGTCTCCCCACCTTCTGCCCCTCTGACCTCCCATACTCCCCAGCCTCTGCCACACTCAATCTCTCCTCCCTCCAGCTTCCCATATCATGTCCAGTTTCCTGATCGCCTGGCCTCCCTCCCCATCCCATCTCCAGCTTCCTGTCTTCCTCTTCCTTCCTCCTGCCTTCTGGCCTCCCAGCTTCCCACACCTTCTCACTGCCTCCTCATCCCCCCATCTTGTCCCTCAAACCTTCCATGGCCCCTAGGTCCCCTTACCCAGGCCTCTCCCATTTGCCTCATCCCACATCCCACCTCTGGCTCCTGCTCCCTTCCCTCCCTTCCCTCCCCCAGCTTCCAGGCTGCCCTCCTGGTGATGCCCACCTGTCCCGGATCTCCTGGGCCAGCAGCTGCAGGCAGCGAGTGGTGCGGGCCCTCTGCACCTCCTCGCTGTCACGCAGGGTCTTCTGTAGTCCCTGCAGGCCTTGAGCTAGGGCCCCATACAGCTCCTGCCGTCCCTGCTCCATGCCCCACTTGTGTCCCTCCTTCTCTGTCTGGCGGCTCATAGGACTCAGAACCTCTGCAGATTAGATGGGATCATGACTGAGCCCCAACCACACCTGAGCCCAGCTTCGAATCCAGCTGGCCCCAACCCTAGCCAGACCCTGACCCTGACCCTGACCCTAGAGTCACCCAACTTCTTTCACCCTGGGCTAACCCAGCTGACCCCAACAGGACCAGCCTCCAGCCTGACTTTGACCCTTGGCCAGTCCTCACCTTCAAGCTGTTGGATCTTGATTTGCTGCAGGCAGCTCTCCTTCTCCAACATGGTCACTGAGTGGTTTAGGAACTCGAAAGCCTGTGGGGAAGAGGTCAGGAGCAGGGAGCAGGCGAACAGGGCCAGAGGTCTCCGAGGACGGGGCAGAGGAGCCTCACCTTGGTCTGGGCCTGTAGCTGGCTCTTGAGTGACTCCAGTTCGCAGCGCAGGAGCTTCTGGGAGTCAGGAATCATCATGGTGGACTTAACTATGAGCAGAGTTAAGGGTCAGATGAGGCTAGGAGGAGTGGGGGCAGGGGCAAGGTCAGGTCAGAGGTCAGCAGAAGCTCAGGGGAGGGCAAGGGGCAGGGGCTCAAGTAAAGAGCTGGGGTCTGTTGAGGCTGAGGTAGAGGCAGGAGTGGGGGACAAGGTCAGGGGCAGGACTCAGCTGAGGCTGGGGCAGGGCTAAGTGGGTAGCAGTGGTGTGGTTCCTCTCAGGTGAGGGCAGAGGGTAGAGGTAAGAACTGGCAGGTCTTCCGCACATAGTCTTGTCGGGAGGGAGGGTTCTCACCTTTGACTTTGGAAGAGTTGGTCTCCAAGGGCTTCTAGGAAAGGGGGACATGAGGGTAGTAGAAATTCATCCCTGTGCTTCTCTTTGCACACCCCAACCCACTGTGTGGGGGTTGGGTATGAGTTGGGTCAGCTGAGTGCTGGGTGTCCCAGACCCCGAGTGCTGGCAAAGCTGCCTCCATGCGTGTGTGCACCCTTCCCCCACCAGCCCCCATATGGTCAGAAGCATACTTGTGTGGTTTGTCCCCTGTCCCCGAAAGCACCCCTGCAGAGCCCTGTCTCTGTCCAGGGCTCAGGTAATGGCCCTCCTCCTTAAGGGCAAACGACATAGACAATGTCTCCAGGGAGCTCCAACAGCCCCGAAGCACAACCGCACACGATCTTTGAAACATAACTACAGCCACACAAGCTCAGACACAGCCACACACACCAGGTGCTTAAGACCTTCAGGGCGTCCACTCACACCCAACTCGGACACACAAGCACAACCAGACACGCAGGCCGTCATACCCAGAAACTATCACAGACAAGACTTCACTAAGAAACACAATCACAGGGGCGCCTGGTGGCTCAGGGGTTAAGTGTCTAGACGCCTTCAGCTCAGGTCATTCGGCTCAGGTCATGATCCCAGGGTCCTGGGATCGAGCCCCGCATCGGGCTCCCTGCTCAATGGGGAGTCTGCTTCTCCTTCTCCCCACTCCCCCTGCTTGTGTTCCCTCTCTCGCTGTGTCTCTGTCAAATAAATAAATAAATAAATAAATAAATAAATAATCTTTAAAAAAAAGAAAGAAACACAATCACACATCCTCTCCATTCATCCCTTCATCCATTCATTTAAGACATTTTTAGTGTGGGTTGGCTGAGCATTGGGTGCTGTTCTGGGTGCTGAAGTCACACAGTGTGAAGGTTCCTGAGAAAGACCCCCCCAAGGCCCCCTCCCTAAGCCCCACAGCAGTAGATTGTGGTGTGGGTTTCCCCGGGTGGGGGTGACCTTAGCAGTGTTATGATGCCTCTTCAGAAGGTCCTGGTCATTACACTGCTCCTCTGAGTCTGGGTTCGGGAAGACGGAAGACCCATATGACTGAGGCTCCAAGTCCCTCTCTAGCCTCCAGTCTATACTCGGCACTGTGTTCTCAGAAGCAGCTGGCCCCACGATCTCTGGCTCTGGGGCCCTGGACCAGTGAATCGTATAATCCAAGGTCTTGTCTGAGGAAGAACCTGAACGGGGGGCGGGGGGACGGGGGGTTGGGGAAATGAAGGGGTGAGGGCTTTCTGAGGACCAACCCAGAGCACTCCAGCCCTCCCAGCTCCCCAGCCCCAGGGAAGCCCCTCAACAAACCCCAGTACTTGTCACACTTCCCGTTAGCAGGCAAACACCCGTTGGAGGGCAAGGGAGATGAGCAGTAGCAGGGCACAGAGTAGTCAGGATCCTGGGGTAGGCCAGCCAGAAGAGGGTCGCTTCAACAAGGGGGAACAGGGGGCTGCACTGAGACCAGCCCCCATGTCCTGGCATGCCCAGACCTTCCCTAATAGCCCAGAGAGGCCTCAGCCCTGAACACAGGGCCTCCCAGTTACGGCAGGAGCAGAACCTGGATGAGAGATGATCCCAGCCCCAGGCATTGGGCTGGGTAGTGAGAAGAATCCAGAAGACCCCCACAGGAGAGAGTGAAGCCTCAGAAGAGCCTAAAAGCAAGAAAGGATCTTAACATTGGGCACTAATGGAAGGGCATTCCTGGCAGGAAACAGCATGGACAAAAGCTTGGAGGTGTGGAGCCACATGCTCTGTGCTGGTAAATTCAGGATGGCTGGAGGTAGGGTCCAAGAGGAAGCAGGAGGAGGTTAGCAAGGCAGCTCAAGCAAGGCATTGCAAGCCAAGCAGGGAAGTTTATATCTGGCTCCCAAGGTAAGTGGGAGCCATGGAGTATGAGCAGGAGAGGCAGGGCATATCTATTCAGTAAATGTTAGCAGAATTGGGGCCGAAGGCCTGTGCTAGGTGAGGCTGGGAATGGGAGAAAAATTCAGCTCTGGGTCTCACATTCATACCCACTGTTCAAAATTCCAGTGTTGTCAGAGCTGGCCCAGATGGAGACCTGGGGCAGGTCTGTCTGGAAAAACTTCCAGGTGAAGAGCATTTTGTCCTGAGTCACACTCAGCCAGAAAGCCCACACTCTAGGGCTTTCTCTTCTGCCCTTGCTGGGCTGTCTGGTGTCCTTCCTCTGGCCCAGTCCTCCTGGAAGTCGGCTATACACCCTTCAAAACTCTACTCAACATTTCCTCTGTAAAAAATCCTTAATCCTTTTTTTAAGCTCATATTTTCTGAGCACCTCACTGAGTGCTAGGGACCATCCTAAGCACTCACTTCACACCCGTTTTATGATATAGGAGCTTTTCTTCTGCCTGAAGTGTTCTGGGCTACCCCTTCCAGAATCACTGTCTCAGGAGGCCCGCACTTTCAGAGGCAGTACAGCATGATAATTAAGCCAGGGGACTCTCCAGCTGGGTGGCCTGGGTTCGAATCCTAGCTCTGCCCCTTCCCGGCTGTGTGATGTTGGGGTGTTACCGAACCTCACCATGCCTCAGTGTCCCCAACTATAAAAATGGGATGCCATACTATCCACCTTACTGGGTTGTTGTGATTAAGTAAATTAATCTGTGCCAGCGCCTGACATACAGTAGTGGGACACTGTCCTCGAACGTCACACTGAGAACCTGGGAAACCGGACCAAAGGAGCCCTGTGAGGCTTGAAAGGGAAAAGAGAAGATGCATTTCTGAGTGCCAACTGCAGGTAGGTCCCCAGTCGAGCCCCCCTCCCTTCCCCTTAACCTTCCCCCTTCCCCTCCCACATCAACTGTTTCTCCCGCTGTCTCCGGAAGAATTCTTGGGGGGAAGGGGGCGGGGTCATTAGCCTGAGCCCCGCCCCCCCGGGGCGAGAATCCTGCGCCCGCCGGGCTCCAGAACCCCTTCCACCCCCACCTACCACATACCACCTGCTCATGCTCTCCCCTCAAGGACCGCGAAGCCAGTCCCCAGCTGTGACGCTGAAATTTGATCCCGTGGGGACACCATCGCATTAAAACGCGCAAAGCCTAAAGGTAGAGTCACAGAGAGGGGTGGGGCTGCCATTTTAGCTCCGCCCCCGCCGATGCAGCCGAAGGCCTTATTGGCGCCTTCCTGCCTCCGCAGATCTTAGGAGCCGCGGTGTAATTGGATAAAAGCCAGACTATGGGGCGGGATTCCAGGCTGGTTTCCGCTAATCGATTAGTCAATATCTAAGAGGGTGGTACGGAAGGCGGCAGATCTACGATCCAATTGGCTTCGGGTTTAGTTGGGAGGCGGGGAGAATTCTTGGGAGGTGACTGAAGAGGTCCGCGGGCCACCTGGGAGCACAGGAGTGAGGTAGCGAGCTCAGCCCACCCGGGCCCCGATATCTGGCCCCGGCAGTACTGTTCTCGGACTCCTGGGTGCTAAGGGTTGAGGTCTGGGTGCAGTGATAGGGTCGGTGTCCTCAGAATGAAATTTGGGGTTTCCCGGGATTAGATGGGGTTTCCGGGGGTGCTTTGGGGTTCTTCCTGGTGATATTTGGGATCCTGAGATGAGAGCCGGAGTCTTTACTGTTAGAATTAGGTCCTCGGCTAATTTTTGGGAGTCACTGGGGGGATATCTGAATACCCAGGGCTGCGAGTTTGAGCTGCTGGGGCTAACTGAAATTTTCAGGTCTCGGAGGCAGCGTGGATGCTTGGGGTCCCGAGAGCATGAGATCTTGAGGGCTGACATTTGGAGAGATGGGGTTGGAGGTTGTCTCAGGATTGTTCTGGGTCTTCCCCCACCCGCATTCCCGGGCTGGTATCCCTTGATCTCTCTCTCTCCTGGGTTGGCCGTGATCCTGGCCTTGAGCAGGCTCACAGGCTGAAGACCATGGGGCAAAGGTAAAACATCTGAAACACCCGGTGCCTCTTTCCCAGGCCTGCAAGATGGAGGAAGGTGGGAATCCAGGAGGCCTGACTAAGATGGTCCATCTACTGGTCTTGTCGGGGGCCTGGGGCATGCAAATGTGGGTGACCTTCATCTCAGGTAGGGACCCTCCACCTGGACATCATGGGTACCCAGGGCGGAGACAAGAATGAGAGGGGGCGCCTGGAAGTGTCCTAACAGGCGTGTGGTCCCCTGTACCCCACAGGCTTCCTGCTTTTCCGAAGCCTTCCCCGACATACCTTCGGCTTCGTGCAGAGCAAACTCTTCCCTTTCTACTTTCACATCTCCATGGGCTGTGCTTTCATCAACCTCTGCATCTTGGCTCCACAACATGCCTGGGCTCAGCTCACATTCTGGGAGGCCAGCCAGGTATGCGGGCTTGGGCTCCACTGTCCTCTGGAGACTCGTTCCCAGGACCCCACTGAGCACCTATGGCTACACCTTCGTGAGAATTAAAACAAACAAGCAACTGCACCTTCCTGGTGGATACGAAGCTGGGCTCTGAATACCCTTGAGCAGTGCACAGCCTGCACAACCATCCCTAGCAGCCCTATCTATCCCTCAGTGTCTCCCTGCTGGCTCCTGCTCCCTCTCTTTCCCCTGGCTGGGCCTGCTGCCAAGTTGTGGTGACTCAGCTGGGTTGGGGTAGTGACCCCAGCTCATTGTTTAAAAACCAGCCTGACTGGGAATTTACAGTCCCCCACTCCTATCCACACATTTTCCCACCCACGAGGAAGGGAACCATCTCTGCATCTCGTATTTCTCTATCCTGCCCTCCCCCTGCCCCCATTATGTTCCTCAGATGTGGGCAGGTAAGGCCTGACAAGGGTTTCAGGAATAATCCCAAAGATACAGGAGAGGATTTTGGGTAACTAGAACTTCAAGGACTTTCTGTTCACTCCCTGTGGACCCAATCTCAGCTTCTGGGGTCTGGGCAGGGACCATAGAGGAGATGGGCCCTGTCTTAGGCTCTCTTTTGGGGGAACAGTTATGGTTCTTTGTCCCAATTTGGGAAAGGGAGGTTCTGCCCAGAGATACCCCCACTTCTGGGGAGCAGGGGGTGGGGAGGAGACAAGGCTGCGTTGTGGAAATTCCAATCTGGGTATCAGAGGAGGAGAGGCTCAGGGTTTTTTGGGGGTGGGGGGAGGTGAACAGAGGAGACGGTGATGGAGCCTTTCCTTGGGAGCTGCTGGTTTCAGGGTATGAAAGCTGGAGCTCTGTTTGGGGCCTCCAGATGGGGTTTGGGAAGGACAGGGAGGCCTAGCTTTGACCGAATGCAGTCTTCCACCCCGCTCTGGGCTTTGAGGATGCAGGAGGACCCTCCCTAGGAGCCCTCCCACCGCCCAGGCGTGACTCAGCTTGTCCTCCTTCCACCACCCTACCAGCTCGGCCTACTGCTTCTGAGCTTCACGCTGTCCACCGTCAACGCCCGCTGGCTGGAGCCCCGCACCACAGCTGCCATGTGGGCCCTGCACAGGGTGGAGAAGGAGCGGGGTCTGGGCGGGGAGGTGCCTGGAAGCCACCAGGGCCCCGACCCCTACCGCCAGCTGCGGGAGCAGGACCCCAAGTACAGTGTCCTCCGCCAGACCTTTTTCCGCTACCATGGTCTGTCCTCCATTTGCAATCTGGGCTGCCTCCTGAGCAATGGGCTCTGCCTTGCAGGCCTTGCCCTGGGTCTCAGGAGCCTCTAGCACCCACTTCCGCTCTGGCCCTGCTGAGGCCCCAAATGTTAATAAAACACTTCTTTGGAAATGCCTGCTGTCATTTTTCTCCAACTGGAAAGCAGGCAGAGGGGTGGACAAAGGTAGAGCTGAGGGCCTTCATTACCACATTCATGTGGCTGGATTTCGAGTGTTAGCTATTAACTGGCCTGAAGCTCTTCCTATAATGGTGCTCATTTATTGAGCACCTGCTGTGTGCAAGGCGCGGTACTAACCATCGCACATACCGTGTATTATTGTAACAATAGCTGACTCTGAGCCCCAGGGGACAATCAGATTTCCCAACCCATCGACTTTGGGGATGGCCACATGACTAGCTTTGGCCAAGGACATGTGAAGAGAGTCACTTGCAAAGAGATGTGTACAAGGCAGTGCATGATTAGCTACATTTTTCCTTCATCCACGTGGCCCTTGGTGGGAGCTATTATCGTTCCCACGAAGCAATGGGGACTCAGAGAAGTTCAGCAGGTGGCTTCAGATGTAGTTGCTGGGATTTGACTCCAGCAAAGCCTGCAGATCTTCTCATGGCTTGAAAATTCTGGGGCCTCACGTGAGCCCGGATGCCAAATTTCCTCATTGTGTGGCCTCAGGCACAGAGGTACCCTTCTCAGAGGCTCCCATTTCCTTATGTGGAAAAGGTTTGATTCTAAGGGCCCCTCAGAGTATTTCGCAGGGACCAGCCCACTTTAGGGTCAGGCATCGCACTTTCTCGAGACACTAGCTCAGATCAGAGCCCTCACACAGCCCTGTGCGGTAGGGATTCTTGTTATGGACCACTGGAGGATGGGCGCAACAAGCCCGCGAGGTTCAGTAACACGTCCAAAGTTAAACCGAGCTAGAAAGTGAGGGAGCTGGGATTCGAACCTGACTCCAGAATCCACGCGCTTCACTTCCATGCAAAGAGTAGGAGCTCTACAATATAGTTAGGAAAAGTGAAAAGTTTATTGTTGGGGAGCGGGCCCTAGGCTGCTCGGAGCTTGGTGCCGCTTCCAGCCCCTCCCCCCTCCCCGGCTTTCGCAAGCCCCGCCCCGGACTCGGCCCCGCCCCGCCCTCTCCCGGGAGCGGCCCCTCCTCCCCCGTCTGGGCGGAGCCGGCGCGGGATCCGGGTGGCTGCGGGCAGCGGCGGT